GGCCGGATCTCTGTTTATGTCTGTGATGCTCACTCGCTCGCTGCCGAAACAGGAAGCTCTGAAATCACTCAGCCCTCGTTCTCTCCAAGGCGCGCTCTGACCGATAGTCTCCGTCCGGCCATCGCCAGCCCGTGGGCAAGGGAGGGGTGGCGGGTGGGTGGGGAGAAGTCCAGCTTCTGCCCACGAACCCGCAAACATTGTTCACCCCCATAACCTCAATTTCAAAAAGCCGTCTGACAGCCTGGGCCATCCCGACACCCCATAAAGTCAGCGAGGAACATGACGGGAGCGTTCGGCAGGGCGCCAGGCCCCAGCAGGCTGCCAGCTGCCCTCTCCAGCTCCTGCCAGGGCCTCCGGGGGCAGGGGCGCTCCTGGAGGGGGGCAGGGGTGGAGCCAACCGACGGTAAGAAAGTGTTGTTACTGTTTTATTGGGAAACGGAAAACAGAGGGAGAAACCTGATCTGAGAGATGAACTCCATCTCGGAGCTCAGGCTTCGACCTGCGGCTGCCCGAGGTGCACGTACCCCCGGTGGGCCTTTCCATCCATATCTGCCCACACTGACACCCCAAAACAGGCATCGGGGTCTGCATAGTATTGTAAAGGGCACATCAATCACGGCCAAAAAAGGGGGGGGATAGGAGGGCTGATTTTAATACAGCTCATGCCTGGTCCTGGACTGCGGCGGGGAGCTGACCACCAGCTCCCATCTCCGGTGCCACCCTCGCCGCCATTGGGGCTGCCCCGCTGCGGGAGTCCGTCCGTGTGGAGCAGAGACTGACTCCGGTCCTGCGAGGCCACCGGGATTCGGGCTGTTTCTCAGCAACAAGCACTCCATGAAGACAGGCTCTGTCCGCCCGGAACCCCTGTGCTGAGTGCACCTCTTCCTTCCACCACAGCTTCTGCCTCACCTGACAGGAAGCCCGCCCACCCTCGCCCCACCCGGCACCGTCCCCCCAATCATGTGAAACAATCTCCGAGTCAGAAACATCCCCCAAATAAGCAAAAGCCCGACGGTGCGGGTAAAGTTATGTCTGGGAAGACGTCCCCAGTAAGAACGCGACGAAGGAGCCTTGTGTTATAAGGGCGCCGGGAGAGGAGACTGTTTTGAAAGTGGGGGAGATGAAGGGGGCCAGGGAGATCAGCACACCCCCAGACCCGCCCGGAAGCCCGTCCCCGGGGCGCAGACACGCGGCCTCACCGGGCTGCTGTGCACCCACAGGGCGGCTCTGAGGCCGGGCCAGAGCTGTGT